AGTATCCATTCAGTTATGCAGTAGCAATTTTCACAATAGACTGAGAGCTGAGCCAAGTCTGACCCTACCATAGGTTCTACATCATTTCCAAAGCCTCTGTGTTCATATACTACATCAGTGACTTTCCATAATTTCTTATAGGATTGTACTGTGCTGAAGCGATCAGCTGAGGCAACTCTTACCCTGAGCACTTACCATGGAGCACTTACCTAATTAGCCACAGTGGTAAGGCAGCAGGGTGGGGGAGCAAACAGATGACAAAGCACAGAAAGAGAAACTACTGACATGCTGTGTATAGGTTAGTGAGAGCAGGGTGGAATAATTGGCCGTGCGGGGTTTGAGAATTCCAATACCCCTGATAAATTTCCAAAGAAAGTCAGGTCATATTTAAAAGGTTTCTTTATGCCTTTATCTTGTGATTTGAGCGATGGAATAGACTGATACCCAACGGTGTTCAAAAATAGACTGTAATAATCACTCCACGGGGGCATAAAGAGACAATTAGAATACATCGAGCTAATTGGTTCCCCTTCATCAACAGTGCAAGTTTCATCCTTCACTTCCCATGAAAAGACCAGTCTTCATAACAATAGAAAACAGCTGTATACTTAATAAAAAAGAAAGGCATGCAAATCCATTGCACATAAATATTGGAGTAGACCATTCTGGGATTAGACCATTTTGGTTTCTTTATAATAGAAGCAGGGCTTGAGTCCTGGGGCCAACCTTTCTAAGAAAATTTATGGACATATCTGACCAGCTTGAAATGCCAGGTCACAACAGTCAAACCCTCATCACTCCAGCACCATGGATGATGATGGCTAGCTTGCCATCCATCAATCATTACAAGGTCAGTTCGGCTGAGATTAAACAGTCCCACCCACCCCAGCACGCAATCCATCGATTGGTCTACTGTTCTATTTGCGTATCACTCTGCATGTGGGCGCCACATTGGTGTCCATCAGAGCAGCCTACACGAAACCTTGATTCATCACTCAGGAGGACCTGACTCTGCTGCCAGTGAGCCCACCATCTCCTGTTTCTGACACCATTTCATTCGATTGCATCAATAAACACAGCATTTGGCTTGCCTGCGAGACTTATATAGCTCACGTCAGATGAAATGCTGGTGTGCAGAATGTTGCAATCTGGCATGCAGGCTTTGTTCATATGAAAAGCAAGTCATAATGTTTCCTTTCTGTGTTACTCTTTCCTGAAGTCTGGCGTTCACCTGTGCCAAGTCACCGCTCTTACTGAGGAGATGATGTAGTGCTTATATAATAGTCCCTTCAGTTTAACACGGTATGCCATAAGTGATCAATTAATGAAACTGATACCAAAAACATACTTAAATCGAGTGACACATTTATTTTAATGCACATGTGTACTTGTGTTTTTTACATTTTTTATTACCACTGACATTTTTTTATGGCTGCCATATAATTACCTCAGTTGTGCTTGGCCAATTGTGCATGACCACTGGCATTTCAAAAGAATTGGTTCCACAACATTAAAGCGATATTGACATATTGCTTTTTAAATTCCATTTAGAGGAACTTCAGCCTTCTTGACGTCCCACGAACTGACATTCGATAGATCTGAGGCGGCGTCGGCTTCACCTTAAGCTCACAGAGGGCAAACGGCGGCACACGGACCGGAGCCGGCCCTGTCGTTTCGCTTCACAGCCCGCGTGAGGCGCGAAGCGACGAGGCGGGAGGAGTGAGGCCAAGCAGCTGATGGCAGTCACGACCGCTGGGGGCGCGGGTCGCAGATTAAAGGGTGAGACAAAGATTCGGAGCAGCTGGCCCACGCGTAGGATCGCCGCGCTCCCCCCTCCACCCCCACCCCCGCTGACTCGATGGGTTCTGACAGGGAACGGGAAACACCACATGCGCTCTTCGCCGCCCACTTCCACCAGGTCGAGCCCCGCCACAGGCAAGGCAGGGTGACGAGGAGTCCTGCCGCTCTGCCCGAAAAAGAGCAGCGGGCTGCAGCCAACGGAACCGGCGCAGGCTCCTTTCGGGCCAGTGGATGCATCCTGTCTGAAGCACGGGGGCTATAAAAAACACTCTCTCTCTCTGAGGCATCTAGGGTCATTCCCTGATCAAACATTAGCAGTTTATCTCACAAATAGCGTTTCTTATTTTTTTTTATCTAAACAAGATTGCTGGTGACTTGGATTTTAGGGTTTTCAGAAGAAGTCAATAAATATTTTAAACTTAACTGGAGGGAGGGAATTTGCTCGGACGTGCCAGGCATACTCCACAGCAATATTCCTGGCAAAGCTGATTTCAGATTTTTAGTGTGTCTGAGCTCCTTTTCCCTGGGGTGCACGCCTTGGGCTTTTGATGTTGTCCTCACAAAACCGCCCTGGGTCCTTGTAAAGTAGCAAAAGTTAAAACACATTCAGTGGTGAATTAGTGTCTCATTTGGGCTGCTGAGACTATAGAATAGAAATAGATTCTTTTTTTTCCTACCTGTTTGCTCTGAAAAAAAAATCGCTATCCTTCATTAGTGTCCCTTGTGTTCTGGACGCCTAGGAACATTTTGAACCAGATAAAACAAAATTAGATGAAAATAAATATATGCCCTTTTTTAAATGTAGCTCACCATGTCTGCCTTTCTCAGGAACACTCTTAAGCTCACACACGCAAATAACAAAATACATTAAAACATATAAAATGCTTAAATGGAAGACACCCAAAGTTATTTATATCCTTGCAACTTATATTAAGGTACAAGATAAATGTAGAGCCATGAAATTATATAAATGTAAATAGGTATAAATGTAGAGCCATGTGAACCTGTCACAGAGCACCCACCACCTGACCATATAGCTATGTAATAGCTTAACTCTGAACCAGCTCTCAATGCAAACTGGCAAATTCACATTTAGCCACTTTCATATCGTACATAGCCTTACTAATAACAGTCAAAATCATTGATGGCAATGTTAAGTAGCAAAATGCAGCACCACTGATCAAAGCAATTTGAATGGATAGAAAGTATCTTCAAGAGATATTATTTTTGTTGATGAGATTATATTCCTAATTTTTTTTCTCCTCTTTACCTGATCGCTAATTGAGCATTCAGCTCATGTCAGCTCATCACCTTCCTCCACTGGCATGAGGTGTGACACAAGTATGATCTCTCTCATACACTCAGCCGCAGCCAACAGCAGAAACATTACTCATCTCTCGAGGGGAAAAAATAAACATATTCTTACTCACCACAGAGGGTGTCAGAAATCTGGCAGAGCTAATTTTGTAATCCAATAACAAGGTTAGAAATCCAATATGCCATAAAATATTATGAGCGTGTTTTGCAAAAACAAAAATGTAATTTTTTCCTATTAACTGTAAAAATAAGTGTAGAGAGGAGGATTGCCATGGCAGTAACATCTTCCTCAAGCACCCATGAGTCTAAGTTGATTTCAAATTGTCAAGTCCTCCAATCAGAGCTAGTTCACCGGTAGTGCATTGTGGGAGTTCAAAATAGATGTGCATTAGTGTGTATAATAGCCATACTGCTGGTACGTGGCTATGCATCCATTAATGAATTTGAATGATTATTATTAGTGGCACATAATAATACGTATATTCCATAATGATGATCATAATATATTGGTCACATAATATATTTCTTCATTCTACCCTAGTTATAACAATATCACATTTATCTATACTGATGAATCCAGTATATAGATACAGTACATCTTTGTATTTTTTAACTTTCTTATTTGCAAAGGGGTAAGTGGTTATAATTAGGCCCATCTTATGTTTGGAACAATATCATGATCATACTTTCCCAATTCCATAAGCAACTCTCATATTTCATCATTTTTTATTCAAAGTCATCCCAGGAACATGGCTTTATAAAATTACTTTAGCTTCTTAACAAGCTATCCTTTTGATAAAAGTTCATTTTAAATGTTTCACATTATACTGCATGTATATTGTATTTTAACCCACAAAGATTTGGCTAACAGGCAGGCCATGATCTATGGACAGTCTCCACAAGTACAGCCTTGTATTGAACCACTTTCCACTGAATTGCCTCTGATCATTTGTCATCCTGTGTGAGGGAAAAGTTATCTGTCTTCACCTGCTCTAGAAGACTTAAGTAGCTGTCTGATAGTGGGAATTGATAGGATAGAGGGACATTAGACAAAATGAAGAGTGATCTAATTGGTCATTTCACAAATTTGGGAACTACCTTACAACTCTCCTCCATTGCAACATTGTCTGTGTCAGATGAAAGCATTCTTGTTTTCTCAATCACTGCTGACTGTAGCTGCATGTAAGCCAAGGCAAAAATATATACAGTATATGTGGAACAAACTAAATCCAGGTGTTAATTGAGGCATCTTACTACATGTATGATAGTTTGTTTTAAGTAGATGCCAGAAAATTCTAATTATACACATATAATGCTGTACTTCATTTATAAATCTGTAACAGTTTGTAATACAGGTTTTACAATCATCTATCAATTTTCAATGAATCATATACCTTTCCAATGAATGTTGTAACTTTATACAAATTGCATGATTTCAAGTGCCATCTAGTGTCTAGACCATGAATTACATTGAGAAAATGAACCAGTGACTGAAGAAATAATCATACAGAGGGAGGAAAACACCAAAGGAACATATGGAATGCAGAAAAGCTTACCATCACATATCAGCTGCAGCTGACTCACGAATATGTTGAGGGAGCATGTATATTTAACAGCCACCAACCTGTTCTCATTGACACCACTTCTCTTTTTAGGTACCTGGAATCTCAAGCTGCTTCAAAAGGAAGCTCTTTTGAGTATAATAATTATCATGATGTAAATGTGAATGTTACTTTCCAAAAAAAAACATACTGTAACATTACAGTCATTTAGCAGACACTCCTACCCAGAGCAACTTACATAGGTTGCAATTTTATATATTATCCATTTACTGGATATTTACTGAGGGAATTCTGGGTTAAGTACTTTGCCCAAGGGTACAATGGCAGTGCCCCAGTGGGGAATCGAACCAGCAACCTTTCGGTTATGAGCCCAGTGCCTAACCAGTATGCTACACTACCACCCTTAAGAATCTTAAGGTCCTCAGTATTTTATCACAAAGGGGGGCCTTGCAAAATAAAATTGGATTGAATGATTGAGAAATTTTACACAATTCAGACAACCACTGAATGTCTTTTGCATTAGTTTTGGAGGCGGTGACATATCCTGACCCAATAAAAATGTCTTGGCCGCAGAAAGTGCACAGGAGGACAGTGGTAGACTTTGAGGGCTGCACAACAGGAGGAGCTGTAGTGGTGCAGAAGACTTCACCTGTTGACACAAGGGCTCAGCCAAAAAAAAAAAACTCCTGAATAGCTGAACACAGTAACCATTAGTGCTCTGTGGGAGAAATTACAATTGCAATTATTTCATGTGCATGCAGTTTGCGATGACATATGATGGGAACACAGTTTGACAACACACTAGTCTGTCATGTTGATTAAGATCTTGAACTTACCCATACAATTCAGGAAGGAAAGAAAAAGTAAGGAATGATTAGAACTCACAAATTAGTCAGAATGTTTTATTTCAGCATCTTTATTATAAGTCTAATATTTTATTTGTCATCTCTTAAAACATTTGTAATTCATATATGTATGTATATCAATATGCGTATATGTGTTCCACATATACATATATAGTCTGTAAATAACCTTTCATCTGTTTATACTTTACGGATTTCTTTTTTTACAATTTTAAAATATTCTTTAAAAGGAATTGTAATGCTTTCTATACTCCCTGGCCAATCCCTTCATAAAACTATCTCTCTCATAATTGTATAGTACTGTACTGGTATCCCTGTTAAGAAAGACAGATAGGTAACCTGCACTTGCTTTGCCATTGCGATATTTACCAAATTCAAGTAAATGACGCGTAATGATGCCAAAGCATTCGGTTCAGATGGGCTTGTGATTCTTTCAGTTTGACTGTGATGTTATGAATCTACAGGAAAATGGAAGCAGAATATATCACACATAAATATCTCTGAACATTTGTAACAAAATATAGTCTATGATCAAAATTAAGTTTCTTTTCCTGAAACAAAGAGTGCCAACACCTGTCCATGACTATAGGGTGGGAGAAGGAAGAGGCTGTAGAATCTAAGGATGGTCCACATGGACACACAGTGCAGCAAAAAACACAGAGAGAAAACACAGAGGGAATAGAGCTGGTTGTGTAGAAAGCATTTCTGTTAATAACAAACATAATGTATCTTTTCCTCATGTTAAACATTAGTTGGAAGACAGAGATTCTGTAGAACTTTGAAAATTTTTACATCTCTAACCATATTTATGATTATCGTTACTTTGATTATTATTGTTATCATCATCACTGATGTGCATATCGACATAGCTCTTTATATTGAACGTAAAATGACAATACTTCCCAAAATAACTAATTCTAACTATTAATTGGAATAACTTAAATCACACCTCTCTTTCGGAAGAAGAGAAATGCAAGAGGGGAAGAGAGTGAAGAACTTGTGAAGTTCAACAGTGATGCTCAATGCCTCACTAAACATGTGAGAGGGTTAGACTTTGTGTCTGAGAGGAGGGGTTTCAGAGGAAAGTTAGGGGAGAGCAAGAGGTCCAGAGAACTAAAGAAGTTTGCAGATCAGGCAGAAATAAAGAGCTTTCTAGAGAGATGATGAAGAGGTCGACAGATCAGACAGACAGATAGAAGAGCCCTTTTATTCGATTACTGAAACAGAGCACAGGATGAGAGTTAAAGAGAGAGATGTGGAAATTGTGAGAGGGGGCTATGGACTTGTGTGAGTGCACTCAGAATTTAGTGTTTTTCTAGTACTATGCAAACCAATTGATCTCTGCTTGCATAGGTTTAACCAGCTGGTGAGGTAAAGCTTCCAGCCAACTGAGATCATTTATTTTACTGTCTGTACTAATCTATGTATATAGTTGTATGTATCTGTTAATTGGCAGTAGTCCAAACAATATTGAGACTTTTATTTTGGAAAAAAAGCCAACATGTCACTACAGTAGCACTGTAAACAAGATGATAACACTTGAAAGAGAAGCTGATTGATTTCAGCTATAAAATCAAACTCAGCTTCTGCCATTTAAATTTGATCAAATTGAAAAAAATATAATGTGAGTCAAATCACTTGCATGCTTTGTGCTGTTCTGTTTTAACACTGAATGTTTTGTGTCACTTCACTGAGAAGGAATACCCTCTAACCCCATAGGTTAACTTGAGAAAGAGCAGCTCAAGTCAGTAAGGATAGGATATTGTTAATTAGAAAGAGCTCCACCTCGTTCGTCATAGGCACAGTGGGGGAACTGCAGCTTACATTAGTAATGGTAATATCATTTACGATGATGATAATAACAACAATAATAACAATAATTCTGAATACATCAATAGTAGTATGCCAGACCCATTTAAAGTTTAAAAATTGTTGTAAGAACAATCATCATATTAAAACAGATATAAGTGTATATCCACTCATCCATTCATCTGGATATTCGTTCGTCATTTCATTGCATCCTTATGTAGAAAGTGATGTTTTTTGGAAGGGATGGGGAGACTGGATGGGAAAGAGGATTTTCAGTCTTTTTTTCTCACACCCTCCCCCGCCTTCTCTCTCGGTCTGAACCGATTTTGATCAGAATCATTGTTAGTTGTTGTTGATGTTTTAGTTTCTTCAATGCGTTGGAAGTCTTTAGTAAAAAGGTTATCTTGTGAAGATTTTTTTGTTTGCAATGTTATTTTACCTACCTCTAAACTCGAAATTTTCAATTTTTCATCAGTTTCTTCTTAGATCCGTACACTCGTGTCCCATTGTTTCTAAGACAAATACAAAGAGCAGAGTGAGTGCGTGTGAGTGAGTGTGTGTGTGTGTGTGTGTGTGTGTGTGTGTGTGTGTGTGTGTGTGTGTGTGTGTGTGTGTTTGTGTGTATGTAATACCTACTTTGTTGGGTCTGGGTTTTTTGCTATAGATAGTAATGCAGTGACCACTCAGAATACTGTATATGCCAATACATAACTGCAAGCGATGAAGAGGCTTACAATGTGTGTACACGTCCTAATCCAACACAGCCTGTCAGCAAGTACAGAGGCCACTAGGTTCACTGATGCGGAAAAAAAAACAAACAGCTAGAGCAAAATTTCTCCCACAGAACTCTGTGAAAACAGTGGGCACATACTAAGCTTTGTCCAGGGAGGGCCGTTCCACATGGGAAACTGGTGTTCTGATATTCTCAGCTGCTCCTGCAATCCTAACAGCGCCTGGGGCTGGTAAGGAAAAGATGTGAGGAGGACAGTGCCATAGCAGGAAGTGTCGTACTGTCAGGCCTCTACTCTCTATGGCTCATTCTCTCAACCTGTAACACTGAAACACTCAGGTACCTTGTGTCTGTTGTGTTTGATTTTTGTTTCAGTTGTATATTTCAAAACATGTTTTGTTGTTGTTGTTGCTGAAAACTGTCTGCGGTTTTGTCTGTGTTTATGTCTGTCTGCGCTTGTCTCATGGGAGTGTGTCTGTCAGTGCATTGTCTTTGTTTGTCTTCTGTTCATTTGCCCTCCATTCCTCTTCGCCTTCCTCTTTCCTTGTTATTCATTCCAGCTGTTAGTGAAGTCCAGTTTTTTTTCCTGTCAGTCTGTAAATCCAGTATTGACAGCAGCAGTTGTAGCCCCCCTCTCTATTCCTCCTCCCCGCTCTGTTGCTCTCTCACTCTCCTCTCAGCTACGTGTCCCCTCGTCCCTCCTCCTGTCATTCCGTCCGTCTCGGGGTGAGAGCGCAGGGAAAGGACTAGACAGCCTTGGAAAAAAAAGAGAGACCAATCAAAAAAACTAACTCTCACCTTCACTCATTCTCCCCTGTCCTATCTATCCCTTTCTATCCCTCCTTTTCTCTTTCCTTCTCTCATTCCCAGCTTCCCCTCTATCAGCCCTCACTCTCCCTTTTTCTTTTTACCCCCACCTCCTCCTCCCCTTTCCTCTCTCTCACCTGTCCATCAGCCTCTTCAGAGCTCGCTCGATGTTCATGCGGTGGCCCACGCGAGTCACCCCCAGGTCCAGGTAGTCCTCCTTGGTGAGGGAGGGGAGGTGAGTGCCATCGATCTCATTGTCCAGGAACCTCTCCCTGTGCTCCCCCAAGTTCAGGTAGCCCAGCCAGTCGGCCACGTCATACTTAGTCCAGTACGGAAGGGGCTTGGAGGCGAAGGGTTTGGACGGGGAAGGGGGCGGTAGGTGGGGGTAGCTGAGACAGGCTGGAGGGGGCAAGGGGTGCAGTGGGGGAGAGGAAGCCCCGGACAGGAAGTGAGTCGGGGAGAGGGAGCGAGAGACCACGAGGGAGGAGTTGGGGGGAGGCGGAGCGCCGGAGGGAGCAAACAGAGGAGGCGAGGGGGAGAAGTAGGGGTCTCCCAGGGGGTTGGCTGGAGAAGGCGGGGTGACGGAACCCCTGAGATCATAAAGGCTGCTGTAGAGAGGGGCGGTGGGAAGGGTGGGGAGAGATGAGGGGCCGGGCGGGCCCAGCTTGGGCCTGTCAGAGGGGGAGATCAGGGGGCTGGGAGCGCGACGTCTCTGCAAGTAGTGGGAATGACTGTGGGAGTCCGATTTTCGGGACTCCCGGCTAGGGATAAACTGGAATTCCAAGGCTTTGGTGCGGTAAACAGGCCGGTGCTTAGGTGAGGTTGGGTACGGAGAGTAAGTGGGGGAGAGGGGGAGTGGGCAGGCTGTGACTGGGAGGGGGCGGCAGGGGGCTGGGGCGAGGGGGAGCGAGCCCAGCTGGGATAGAGGGGAGGCTGAGCGGAAGGCGATGGAGTCGGGGACGGGACCGAACGAGGAGGCTGGATCGGGGATGGAGAGGGGGAGCGCGCCATGGGGGGGCTCAGGGCGGAAGTGGAGTCTTCCGAAAACCTGAGAGGGAAGAGAGAGGTAAGTTAACACCTGACTGCAGGCCACAGTGTATCCCATGGAGAGGGAGGAGAAAAAAGCAGACAGAGAGACAGACTGGGTAAGAGACGGGAGGAGGGGAGGTGAGAAAGTGCATTAATTACTG